TAGTTCCAATTTGGCCCCTATTAAATTAAATTTCATTTTTCTCTTTTCTATATTCAATCACAATCTTCCATAAAATAATATTACAAGTAAATCGAATTTTTTTCCTTTTTTTTTCAACCACTCATTCTTAAAAAAATAAAAAATAAAAAATAAAAAATACTATGCCACCTATTTTAATTTGAAAAAATGGGGGCCAAACGGGGGCTTATTGATTATGGTTCACTAGGGTAGAGCTAGACCTTTTTTTTTATTTTGGGGGTCAAAAATTAAAATGCAATTTTCTTTAAAGACAACATAATAGTAAAGAAAATAAGTCAATACATTACTATAATTGTAACCTATACATTTTTATACTTTGTGAGAAGTCAAGGATGGAAGTAAAGGTTTTGCAGGAAACTGAAATTGAAATTTGTGAGCAATAATTCGTCAATTTAAACATCCAATTTTTCACACATAGCCAGCCAAAGAACAAACCCAATTATGCCAAAGAGGCCAAATTTCGTTAACTTTGAAATTGCCAGATCTTGAATCCAAAAAATCCTCCATCTAAAATACTAATTTCAACAACACCAACATCTTCTCTATCACATTCAACATCAAAGCCATATAAAATTAAATAATACAGAAAAAGAAAATAACCCACTTATTAATTTCATATACGGCAAACAAAATCGAAACATTACACTTCCAAAGACTGCAACAATCCAATAAGTAAGTTGTGATCTTATATATGAAAACTCCAACGTTGCTTACGATTTTACTTTTCTAGAATGTCCAAAAAGAATTTAGAAACTGCAAAGATTCTTTTGTGTTTGAAACTCTTTTCTCTCTATTTCACCACTAAATTCATATTAAATGAAGAGATTCTAAAGCCAAAACTCAGTAATTCATTTCACTAATAAAAAAATATAATCAAATAAACTAACAAAAGGGGCACTCATTGAGCGTAAACAAGAAAAATGCACTTGAAAAAAAAAATTATTAAAAATTTAAAAAAAAAAAAAAACCATAAAAAAAAAAAAAAAAAAAAAAAAAAAAAAAAAAAAAAAATTTTAAAAAAAAAAAAAAAAAAAAAAAAATTTTTTTTTTTTTTTTTTTTTTTTTTTTGTGGAGGTCAATCACAATATCTCTCAAGGCCATTTTTATACAACAGATAAAGGAAAAGTTTGTTTATGACCAAGCCACTCTAATACTACTTTTTATTACCTACTATTCAAACAGGTGGCTGAGCTAGAATCTTTACTTGGGGGTCGAAAAAATGTTGATGCGACAAAATTTACATTTATTTTGTGTATATATATTTTAAAAATGCAAATTTTCTTAATATATTTTTAAAATATTGCAGACCGGACGCCATCGTATCTCGTGGCTCCGCCACTAATCTTAACGGTCAAATAGAACATCTTGTGACCATTAAAGTATACGTGTGGAACTTAATAATTACCCGTAGATATCTAATACCGATGTATTAAAATTTTTAAAAATCAACCATATTTGACACCATAACAAAATATCAAAAGAAACTCACCAAAAAAAATAAAAAATTGTGGAGGGAGCCTAGCAAGAAAATGTGTCCGCAGCACGGAAGAAGAGGGGCTAGAATATTGAAGCTGGTTCGTGTTGAGTTGTTCTCAAAACAGGAATAAAGAATTCAACAATCTTGTTTCTGTTGCTCTTCTAACCTGAAGAGGGAGAATTTGTACCATAAGACCTCAACTAATTGTTTGACCAGCAATTTGGTGTTCAACGTTTCATATTATTTGGATAGTCAAAAGTGGCATATGGCTAAATAAGGATTTATCGGAGATTGGACGGTTGTCACTTGTCATTAGAAATTGATTTTACACTTTTATGAAAAAGATGAAAACCAACTTGTTACTCAAACAATAGGTTGAAAACTAACATTAATGCAATTTTCCCTAAAGAAAGTAAGAGTTTCATTTTCATCTCCAAGCTTGATTTCTTTAAATTATTAGGGGTACAAAGCAGATCATAAAAATTAATCTTAAAATTGCTGTTATTATGTCCCAATCGTTAATTATTTATACACTGAGATCTTTGGATACGGTACCGGCTAAAATTAATTATATATTACCCTACCCAATAAATGAAATATCTTTCCACACGGGATTGACACGAGATTACCACTCCTATTGTTATAAAAATTAGGGGACAATATGAGATTAATGTATTTAGATTAGTTGAAAGCTCTTTTATAACTACATGATTGGGATTGTTTCAAAATAGTTTATTACTATTTAAATAGCAATTTTTAGGACACATTTAGGATAGCAATCGGGCTCGTTGGCTCGGGACGCTCGTAGCTCGGCCCAAGAAAAGCCCGAGCTGGCCTTGCTCGAGGCTTGGAGGAATCGAGCTAAGGCTCAGGACAAGCCCCATTTCGGGGAGTCGGCTCGAGCAGGGCTGGCCCATAAAAAAATAAAAATAAAAATAAAATAAAATAAAAAAAATTTGCTTCCTGTTTGACAGCTAAATTGCCTTAACCGGCACCTTCATGCTCACCTTCATAGCTGCCTGTTGAGGTAGCTAAGAGGAGAGAAAAAAAATTCCAGAAAAACAGCCTGGCTCGGCTAGGTAAGGGTCGAGCCTTAATTTTTTGACCTAGCTTTTAGAGCCGAGCCAAAAAAAGCTAGCCTTAAAAAAGCTCAAGCCGTGCCCAAGCCAGGAATTTCAGCTTGTGACCAGCTCCGCTCATTGACACCCCTAATAACATGTTATTTTTGTTACTTAATTTTATTAAATTTTGTCTAATACTTGACATGTCAGAATTGAATCTTTTTGGGTTGAACTATCAAGCCATAAGAAGTCGTATAAGATGTAAAAGATGGATCGTTGGCAAAATGCGGAAGTTCTGAACATAAGCGTGGCCGAAAAATTCTGTGATTGGCCGCGAAGGCTATTGTGGCCGAAAAATTCTGTAATGCAGTCATCAAAGACAACAAAAGAGTTGGGATTTGATGGAACATGATCAGATAATTTCTCATCTGTAGAAGATTGACGAATAGATGATCACTTGAGACAAGATGAGATGACATGGTAATTTGTTTGAGGGAAGATTGTTAAGCGTGAAGTGCAACTGAGACATCTATAACTCAAGACGATAAAATCAATCTGTTTAAAATATAGGCAAGCTGTTGACGTTAAAACTAATCAGGATTTGTAAAGAAAGAGATTAAGTTGAGTTTTAGTGTACTATTAAGAAATAATTAGTCTATTTATATGTTAATTGTTGGTGGAAACAATGAAAGCTCATTTCAATCCTCTAATCATATGGCAATTAAAATAATGGAAGTTCTAACTTGTTACAAGGTCAATGCAAACAAATTTTATTTATTCAACCATTTCTTAAGGGCATAAGTGATCTTGATCTGTTACGTCAAGGGCATTTTTAATGTTTTTCGTTTTCATTGTGATCATTATTAATATAGTTAATAATAAATAAATAAATTGCTTCATAGAAAAGAAAACCCCTAGTTTTGCGATACCACGTGGAGGAAAATTTCCATTGTTTCGCAAATTAGGGTCAGAAAATGTGGGAGATTGTCGGTGGAAACAGGGAGAGTTTTGGAGCGGTGGAGTGGTCGGAATACAAAGGTCTTTATAACAGAATAATTAACGGGTTCCTCTTGACTAAAAATTTGTGCGCCTATTTATGACGATATAGGCATGTGTCTGTCGAAAAAATTGATTGCGATCCAAGTGATATATTCTTCAAAGAATGAAGACCACAATTGTAATTTCCCCGTCCAATAATATACACAAGTTACAAGTACAATTCCATAAAGTGAAAATTGCATGGAACCAGAATTTTAGAGATCACAGTTTAAAAAATCAGACTTAAAGTTTATTCATACAAAAATCAGATATTAATTCAAACTTTTAATATTAATATTAATATTATAAAATTAATTAATCTACCCTACACAATTTCAATCCTAAACTCTCTCCTTTCACCTCTCTTATCTCTCATATCTAAGCCCACAGTCGTTCGTGCAACCATATCGAACATATGGGCTTTTCATGTTTCATATTTTCTTATGATCGTGTTATATCTCTCAAATCTACTGTCGTGAGGCTTATCGCCGATTAAGGTAAGGACAAACGAGGAAATAGGATTGTTATAATATTCAAACTGCTACTGAGATTGGCAGTCGACTATCGCGTGCGGCAATGTTAGCAACACTAGCGATGCCATCATAATGCTACTCGCAATGTATTGTAACGAAATCTTCTCATATGTGTCGACATTTTTCAGCTACAATTTCCATGTGTGAGGAAGAAAATCAAGAAAAAAGAGAAAAGGGCGACAAGACTTATGGTGTGTGGCGTGCAAACGAGCCGTGCTGCAGACAAAGATATCGACGTTTGAAGGTGTCACGCGACGACTAGACTAGTGGTGTGTGAGGGAGAGTGACACCCGGCATCATAGCGATTATCCTGCAGGCTAATTCAACAGATGATTCACGGGGAAGAACACAAGAGAAAACGCTTAAAATACAGAGAAATCCTCTGACATTCAACATAAATTTATTAAAATCTAGAAGACAAAATATAGTCCACAAGCCGGGCTATATAGCTAAAAAAAACGTTAGTATCGAAATTTTACCAAAAATAGCAAATCCCTTTAATCATATCAAAATAAACTACGTAATAAAAGAAGTGACTTGCCAAAAGTCTAGCGCAGGCTAATTCAACAGATGATTCACGGGGAAGAACACAAGAGAAAACGCTTAAAATACAGAGAAATCCTCTGACATTCAACATAAATTTATTAAAATCTAGAAGACAAAATATAGTCCACAAGCCGGGCTATATAGCTAAAAAAAACGTTAGTATCGAAATTTTACCAAAAATAGCAAATCCCTTTAATCATATCAAAATAAACTACGTAATAAAAGAAGTGACTTGCCAAAAGTCTAGCTCAAATCAAGTTCATAATCATCAAGAAAATGACAAACTAAATATTACCAAAATGGAAAAAAAATAATTAAAAAGGGAATTCGGAAAGGAAAATAGTTCATTTTGGCATCGAAAAACAATGCCCACCAAGCGTAGCTGGGTGACAACAACGTGCGCACCAAAAAGCGCTTTCCGAATTGGACCGTAGCCAAAGTTATGGACAAATTACTGAAAAGTGTTCAAAACTATCCCAATTAGGAAAAGATTGCGATCACTTGCCATCTTTGTGCCAATTTGCCAACTCATGGTATCTTACGCCATCAACGTGCTATCTGAGAATCAGCATCACTAGATTCGGACCCTCCTGCATCAGTCGCCCAGGTTGGAAAGAACTTGTCCTTGAGTTCACAATAACTTCATTGGAATCCACCAAACAAGGACTTAGGTGCTTCACATTAAAGACATCAAAAGTCTTCAAATGGTTGGGAAGGCGTGGCCTTTAGACATTATGATTGATCTTCTGCAGGACCTCACAGGGTCCAATCTCCCGCTCCTTAAATTTATTATACTCCCCAACAAGAAAACAATCTCAGGTTAGTACCGTCCAATCAAAGTCACCAACATCAAAAAGCACCTGACGATGATGACTATCGGCCTAAACATTGTACTTGGCATTACTCTCTTGAATGGCCAGCTTGACCTGTTCATGGATATCCCAAAGATGTTCTGCCATCTCATCGGCCTTGTGACTAAAACGACCCACACGTGGGATAGGGGCTAAGTCAAGTACTCCGAATGGATTTCGACAATAGGCAATCTCAAATGGGCTCATTCCTGTTGTTCTATTCTTCGACCTCTTATAGGCAAATTTTGCTTGAGGCAATGCNCGACAATAGGCAATCTCAAATGGGCTCATTCCTGTTGTTCTATTCTTCGACCTCTTATAGGCAAATTTTGCTTGAGGCAATGCCAAATCCCACGCATTGGTTTAGTCCCTCCAAAACTTTTCAAAAGGTACTCCAAGCTTCGGTTCACCACTTCGATCTAACCATCTATCTGGGGGTAGTAGGCGCTACTAAAGTTCAACTGCGTTCCCAGTTTCTCCCACAAGCTTTTCTAGAAATGACTCACGGTCAAAAGTAATTGATTGGGGAACACCATGTAAACACACAATCTCTTTGGAATAAAGATAAGCTATCTTGATAGCATCCATTGTTTTCCGTCAAGCTACAAAATGAGCCATCATGGAAAACCTATCAACCACAACAAAAATAGAATCCATCGCCTGTTGGATACGGGGTAAGCTCAATATAAAAAGCATACTGATATCAATCCAAGGGGCTTAAGGTATAGGTAAAGGCGTGTAAAATCCTGCACTAGTGAGAGCTCCTTTGGAACATTGACACACATAACAATACCCTACATAATGCGCCATGTCACTACTCAATTTAGGCCAATAATAGTCAGAAGAGATCAAAGCCAATGTCTTATCGCACCCAAAATGACCTTCGTTATGAAGTTCACTAATAATATGTTGTCTCAGCGGACAACTTGGAATGCACATCTGTAATCCACGAAATAGATAGTCATTATGCAAAATAAAATCATGTCGTTAATTATCAGTAACCTCTTGAATTATCTTCCCGAAAGAAGGACCTACAACATATATATCAGGAAATGCCTCAAATCCTACAACTCTGGTGCTCATAGTGGTGAGGAGTAATGTACGACGGCTCAATGCATCTACGACATGATTCAGACTCCCCGCTTGGTACCTTAGTGCAAATATGAAATCCTGTAATTACACTACCTACTTGGCATGCCGTCTACTCAGCTTGTGTTGACCATTGATGTACTCTAAGGTCTCATGATCAGTAATAAGAAGGAACTCCTGCTATATCAGGTAGCGACACCAATGCTTCAAGGACTGAACTATGGCATAAAACTCTAGATCATAAGTGGAATAATTCTTCTTTGATCCTAATAACTTCTCACTGAAAAAGTCTACTAGGTGCCCCCATTGACTTAGAACACCACCAATGCCAACCCCAAATGCATCACAATTTACCTCAAACACCTTTTCAAAGTCAGGAAGTGTCAAAATTGGAGCCTTTACTTCACTATAATCCCGTTGATTGCTTTGCTATCAACCCACATATGCCAAGAGCCATCTTTCTTCAGCACTAGTAGAGCATAAACTACATCTTCATGCTCGATCTCAACTAAAAACCTGGACATCAGAATCTGCTCGCGACGACCACAACAACATCCACTAACCATTGAGACTGATGGAAAATCACCCCAGGAAGATGCTGATGCTGTGATGCCAATTGACGCTAGGCAGGATAGCGATTATCCTGTAAGCTAGTTCAACAGATAATTCACAATGAAGAACACGAGAGAAAATGCTCAAAACATAGAGAAATCCTTTGATGTTTAACTCAATTTTATTAAAAATTCAGAATGACGAAAAATAGCTCACAAGCCGGGCTACATAGCTAAAAAAAATTAATATCGAAATTTTACCAAAAATAGCAAAATCTCAATAATCATACGAAAATAAACTACGTAATAAAAGAAGTAACTTGCCAAAGGTCATACTCGAATTGAGTTCATAATAATCAAGAAATCAACAGACAAAATATTACCAAAAATGGAAAAAAAAAA